TCGGGTTTTCAGTCCACCGGGATACCCATTTTTGCCCAAGCCGCCTTTTCAGGTTTTCGACTTGCCGGGTGTACAGACCTTTTTTCATTTCATCCCTTATTTTTGCCCGAACCCTTTTGGTTCGCCGGGAAGCCCTTATTCTTGCCTAGGTGTGTCAACCTAGCGGGTCTTAAATTCATGCGTAGTATCTTTTTACTATGTCTGCATTGGCGGGGTGAGGAAGGTCGTCACCATCCATGGTGGTTAGAATCATAGCTCCTCCTGAGAAGATATGTTTAACCACAAATGGTCCTTCGTACGTAGGGGTCCATTTGCCCCTGGGATCACTTTGAGGAAGAATGATGCGCTTGATTACCAGGTCTCTGACTTGATACTCTTGTCGTCTGACTTTCTTGTTAAATGCCTTGATCATCCGTTTTTGGTACGTCTGACCATGACAAATAGCGGTGAGTCTCTTTTCCTCAATTAGGTTTAATTGATCAAGCCGAGTCTGGATCCAATCATCTTCGCTCAAACCTGCATCCTTCATTATCCGGTGAGAGGGTATCTGGACTTCAATAGGCAAGACTGCCTCCATGCCATAGACCAAGGAAAAGGGAGTTGCCCCTGTTGACGTCCGTGCTGAGGTACGGTACCCATGAAGAGCAAACGGTAACATTTCGTGCCAATCTTTGTAGGTCACTGTCATCTTCTGCACAATTTTCTTGATGTTCTTATTCGCTGCCTCTACAGCCCCATTCATCTTCGGTCGATAGGGAGAAGAATTATGGTGTTGTATCTTGAATTGCTCGCAGAGCTCAGTGATCATCTTGTTGTTAAGATTGGTACCATTATCCGTAATGATCCTCTCAGGTACACCGTATCGACAGATCAGGTTGTGCCGAATGAACCATGCCACGACGTTCTTAGTTACCGTAGCATAGGAAGCTGCTTCAACCCACTTTGTGAAGTAATCAATTGCTACCAGGATGAAGCGATGCCCGTTGGATGTCGTAGGTCTGATCTCGCCGATCATATCAATGCCCCACATTGCAAAAGGCCAAGGTGTTGTCAAGACGTTCAGAGGAACCGGAGGAATGTGCACCTTATCAGCATAGATCTGGCATTTATGACAAGTTCGAGAATGCTGATAACAGTCGGCTTCCATTGTGGACCAAAAATATCCTGCCCGAAGGATCTTCTTTGCCATGGTATGTCCACTGGAATGCGTTCCGAAGGTACCTTCATGTAGCTCTGCCATGATCCTCTCTGCTTCAGTCTTATCCACACAACGCAGTAAGGTTGAATCATGGTTTCGTTTGTACAGAATGCCGTTGCTGAGGAAGAACTTCGCCGCGAACCTTCTCAGGAACTTCTTGTCATTAACAGATGCGCCTTCGGGGTATTCTTGAGCTTCAAGGTACCTCTTCACTTCATGATACCAGGGTTTTTCTGTTACCTCTTCGGTCTCGAGATCGCAGCAATGTGCAGGTTCATCCAATTTCCAGATAATGATCCGGGGAGCCTCATTGTCCCATTTGACTTTGAACATAGAAGACATCGTAGCCAACGCGTCCGCTAATTGATTCTCCTCTCTTGGGAAGTGTTCAAAAGTTATCTCCTCGAAGTGGGGGATCAATGTCAACACATACTCCTTGTAAGGAATAAGATTCGGGTGTTTCGTATCCCACTCGCCTTTGATCTGATTGATCACGAGAGCGGAATCTCTGAAGACACTCAGAAACTTGATCCTTAAGTCAATTGCAGCCTGAAGACCCATGATGCATGCTTCATACTCCGCCATGTTGTTGGTGCAATTGAAACATAGTCGGGCGGTGAGTGGAGTATGAGTGCCTTTAGGGGATATGATCACAGCGCCGATACCATTACCCAAAGCGTTCGAGGCTCCGTCAAAGTGAATAGACCATCGGGATCCTTCCTCAGGTCCTTCATCCGGTCTAGGTACTTAACAATCAGTCACTACCATGATATCCTCGTTGTTGTACCCCAAATTTTGACCTAAGATACCGTCTCCCATCTGCATCATTCGCATGACAAGAGTTTTGACATATTTTATCAAATTTTCAAAACAGTTTAAAAATTCATAACTTTTTCGAGTCGGAAGCTGTTTATTTGTTGAACGCTAAATTTATTAACTGATCAAGACTTAAACAATGTTCATTAATTATTTATTATCTTAAATTCAAATAATTGGAATTTATTTTCGATTATTACGTAATTTAAAGACTTATAAATAATAAAAAGAATATTTGAGAAAAGGTTTATTAATGGGTCAAATAATGTTTATTAATTATTCATTATCCTAAATTTAAATAATGGGAACCTGTTTTCCGTTATTATATAATTTGAAGGTTTATGAATAACGAAATAAACATTTAAAAAGGAGTCTATTAATTGATCAAGCAATGTTTATTTAATTATTTATTGTTCTAAATTTAAATAGCTGAAATTCTATTTTTTAAGTTATTATAATTTAGAAGAATTAAAAATAATAATAAAATAAATAATTGAAGTTATTAATTGATCAATGATGTTTATTTATTTGTTTATCATTTTAAATTTAAATGATTGAATTTGATTTTTAATCATTATATAATTTAAAGAATTATAAACAATAAATAAATAATTGGAAAGAAAAAGAATTAATTAAAATAATAGAATTTTTATTCACTTTATTCTATTTATTACAATTGTCATTTAAATGTTGTGTTATTACAAAATATTTATAAAGACAATTACATAAATGCTTAAAGTAAATAAAAAACTATTTTTCTAAAATCTAATTCTAAATCTTCAATCCAATGCTCTTGTTCGCTCATTTAATTTTACCTGCGAAAACGATCAAAAGAAATTAGAATTCGAATAAATAATTAAAATGCAGAAAATAAATTCAATGTTCATCATTAAAAGCAATGGCCGGAATCAGTTACTCTTTTTTGCAAATCACGGGATTTCTCCCGGTTCACAAAAAAGAGAGGAATTTTTAAATGAATGCATAATTAAAAATAACATTTTTAAAATCATTTGCATTTTTATCAAAAGCCTACTGCATATTTCACATATGCATAAATGCATTTTTTGGTCAAAACTGCATAAGTACACACAGCATACATAATTTCAAAACAAACATATGCAAGGTACACAACAAGCCAACGTTAACCTGCAGAATAATATAGGCTAATGCAAGACAAAAAACAATATGAAATTTCAAACAATGTGCAGTTTTAAACTACATATGCAAGCAACCTATTCCTTTTTCATCATTTTCTGGCCATTACAATTTCAGAAAATGTACAGTATATCATTTATATATATCAATTTCTGTACTTGGGAGAGAGAGAGAAGAGGTTCAATTTTTGCAGGTTCTGACTTAAGCATGAATTGGGAATAAAGTCAACCTTGAAGCAGCATAGGTGCAGAACAGCAGAAATAATAAAATACTCAAAACCTGATGCCACAAGGAAGCAACGGCTATATGAAAAAGGCCTTCAAAAGGAAGTTTTAATTGCATAGCATTTTTACACAGAACCATCACTGCATAGCATATCTTCACATAACCATTTCTACATATTTTCATTTTCTGCATATTTTCATAAACCGACATATTTCATAAACCTGCATTTTTTTCATAATTCTGCACCATTCAAAACCATTTTCCTGGATATTCAAAACTATCCTGCATATTTCAAACATCCTGCATACTATACAAGCCAACCATTCAAAACTATCCTGCATATTTCAAACATCCTGCATACTATACAAGCCAACCATTCAAAACCATTTTCCTGCATATTCAAAACTATCCTGCATATCAAAACCTGCATATTCAAAACCATTCAAAACCATTTTCCTGGATATTCAAAACTATCCTGCATATTACAAAACCTGCATATTGCTAAACCATTTCTAAGCATATTGCGAAACCATTTCCAGCATACTGACCAAAACCGAATAAACCACCAAAAAACATTTATTCAATATTTCCAATCAGTTTTTTTAGACGGAGAGGAAGAGAAGAATTAGTGGCAGAAAGCAAGGAGCGAGGAGTTTTCGGAGCTTACCTGACTTCGCCGGAATCGTACTGTCGGACTAGCTCCGACCATGTGAGTTTTTCTTCAGTTTTTTCGCATAAAGCTTTATACCGCTGCGTTGCCTTTGTCTCACTTAATAACACTCTCTTTAATTTCCTGAAATCATGTAAAACGGCTATTTAATATCTTTGCGAATCATCAATACATTAAATCCCTATTTTAACATAGACAATAATTTGATTGATAAAATTCAAGATTCATAATATTGCAAAACCGGCACAATCACATAAGCACTGTTAATTTAAAGCCAACTTGTAAGAAATGCAGAAAATTCACAAACCTTTTTCAACTACCCATTCGGATTTCGCGGTTCATCACTATCCTCCTCATTCAATTCTTCTGCCGCTCTCAAATCCGCATCTAACAAAGATATCTTCCTTCCTGCACTTTCATCACACTTCAATCACCTTCATCGGGTCGTTTCAATTCGGACTTAGAACTTTTCATAAAAAAGAGATTAGAAAGGCATACCTTTAACCTCGGTCTCCATAACCATTGTTAAAACTCTTCTCCACCAACATCTGGGGTACGAGATGATGCAACTGATTCCAATAAGAAAGACCCAAAGTCTGATAAAAAGAATGAGGAGAATGCCGTGGCAGCTCCTATTAATGACGACACACAAAGCACTGGCAAGAAGGCTACTGATGCAGATACAAAAGCTGTGTCGGTGACTAAGAAATTGTCAAAGTAATTCCTAAGAAGAAGTTAAAGTTGACAACCTCTGAAAAGCAAGAAGGTTCAGGCGATTCAAATAAATTGAAGTGAAGTCTGACAAAGATGACAAGGATGGAAAAGGAACTAAAAAAATGGATCCAAGATAGATAAACAGAAAAGGTTAGAATAACTCACCTGACCGGAGAACCCTTCCTCGCCGAAAAAACCTTCATCTTCGCCAGAAACACCATCATGTATAACCACTGCGATGGAAACAACTCTGAGTTGCCTCTTCAACCTATTGATAATGATAATTCTGATCAGCTTTCTCTGTCTTTCCGTGGTCAAGTCTATGTCTTTGAATCTGTCACTCCTGATAAGGTTCAAGCGGTGTTGTTACTGTTGGGTGGATCTGAACTGCCTCAAGCGGGTACACGATATGTGGATGCCGTGCCTCAACAAACTCAGAGGTCTATTTATACATGTTGATCAGTGGCTTTAACTGTTGATCTCTATGTATAACCTGGATTTTGAGTTAGAACTTGATGATCTTGCAAGATCTTCATTCTGACATAATACTTTTGAATAAATTTTCCTATAGATAATTTTGGGACACATGTTCCTATGGAATAAAAACAAAGGAAAGAGGAAATCTAACAATAATGACCAGTTCTAACGGCGAAATCAAAATCAAATTACGCTTCTTTACCTAACTTATGTAGACTCAACCTTGTTGAAAGTCTCCGTTCCAACCTCGCCGTTCTTCTCCCCAACGTTGATTCGCTTTCAAGGGCTTCCAACGAGGAAGACGCCCATGTTCTCATTTTTGACCGCGTTGCTTCTCATCCAAACGCACTCCGCCGTACCCAGCCATCCCTCTTCAACCTGCGTCTCAGACTTCGCTCCGACTGCATCACAATCCAGCGGCGCCGGCGGCATACCCTCACTCCCTAGGTCTTTTTCGCTTCAGCATGTGTTGTTCTTCTTCCTGGGTCCGGGTCTTCCACGACCCGCTCCATCTCTCCTCAACCCAGCTCAGTTTCTTGCTTAAGCCCATGTGCTTTGTTCTTACTACTTAAGCCCATCTTTTATTTCCCTTTAGATAAATTCTAGTGATTTTCTTAAACTAATTAATCTAGACTAATTAGTTTTCTTAGAAATAACATATAGTTTTAATTAAATAATGTTTAATATTTTGTCCAAATCTTATTAGTTTAAGTTTTAATTTAGTAAATCAAAAATAAGAGATGTAACTTAAAACATTTTTTTAATATTTGACTAATTTTATTAATTTAAACTCTTAGGATTTAATTTAATAATCTTAGTATTTTTAAAATTAGACTTAAGTTAGTAGCATTAATTTTTAATTTAATTTAAAGAATTCTTAAAAGTAATACTTTTTATTTATATTAAAAAAAGACATAAAAATAGAAACATATAAAAATCTAAAAAACATTTCTCTTAATTCTCATTACCTTTTATCATTAAAAATGCGTAAAAAGTGAAAACCAATTAAACTTTTTCTTTTCGCCTATTAAACAAAAAATCATATAAAATGCATGTTCATGTTTAATTGTTGTGTATCATTTTCTGTCAATTATTCCATTGCACTTGTTTATTCTATTTGCACCAATCCAAAGGGAATTGTCTAATTTTTGTTGACTTCATGTCCTCAAAAATGATTGAGCGAATACTCTCATTCATTAAAAACTTAGGTTAATTTTCCTCAAACATTCACATTACTTCAAATTTTCAACATTTTCAAGACTTATACCTTTTAAGCCAAAACTTCGACATTAGGTCGTCGCATTTTCAAAAACCCGTCCGTATCCCTTTTCGGCCAAAACAATTTATTTTCAATCAAGCAATCAATTTTAAATAAAACAGATATTTCAAAAGGTTCCTATAGAGTACTATAGATGCATTGGGTGCTAATACCTTCCCGTTGTATAACCAACCCCCGAACCATAAGATCTCTTTTAAAAAACGCTTTGTATTTTATTATTATTTACATTGCATATTTAGGGTTTTATTTCGCTCTTTTCCCTTTTCCTTTGGAAACAATAAAGCGCGGTGGCGACTCTTGCTTTTGTGAGACGAATTAATCAATAATTCGATCTCCGATTTACCCCGCTACATTTTTTATCGCTACAGAATTGGCGACTCTGCTGGGGACAGATTGACCTCTTGCTGGTCCATCCCTAAGTGGGTTAAGCCTAACTTGGCTTATCTGTTTTACTATTATTTGATTTGCTTGATTACGTGTTAAAATTTGGGGTTATTCGGGTTTTTCGCAAAGGACAAATCCTACACCCGGATTAAGTAACACTTAAGGAATAGGACGGGCGGTATAGTCATGTTAACTTTGAGGGAGTAATCCCGAAGAAGGAGGCATGAGATCCCCCACTCAATGGAAGGCCCTCTTGAACTTAATATTTGTTTACCGAGTAATCGGGAAGACGTTATTATTTTCGACCTAGGAGCCCGAGAAGTTGAGGACCGTAGAACCCTAACCCTTCTTGGCCTTTTTAGGTGTAGCGCGGAGACTATAACGGAGTAATTCGGAAGTAGTTGTTACGCGATGCTACGCTCGGACGAGTTTCTCTTGAGAATATTGCTAATTATCGAGTAATCAAGACGTTGGCAATATCCGAAGGAGGAATGTAGACTCTGGGAACTCTTAGAACCTTGTTCTACAGGTGTGAGTAAACCATTAGTACATACCTTTGGGTGGGCTTTACCCTTGACTCCATGCGGAACGTTGAACCTTTAAACCCCATGTTTGTGACCTTGCTTGTGGTTGTTGCATCTCCATGCATACATGCATCCATAAAACTCTTTTCACTTGACTTTGAAGGAGTTTGGAGGTCTTTCTTTGTAAACATCACTAGTTTCGTCAAACTCAATGGATCTTGGGTGTCGATAGGGCGAAAACCCTAATCCACCAAAATGGATGATTGATCTTGACGATAACTTGATCAATGTTTGGAGCCAATTTAAAATTCATCTGTTATCTTCATACTTGGATGTTTATAACTTGATATCTTGAGTTCCTTGAAAGTCAAATAAAATTCTCTTTTGCATACCACACATCATTCTACATTTTTCCTTTGTCTCACTTTCAAAGGTCTTTTTTCGAGTCTTATTTTTTCCTTTTGGTCTCACTAGTACAACACTCGCGCTAAGAGGACAATGGAGAATATCAAGCAAGAGATTTCTGAACTCCGCAGAGAGGTGTTTGTTTTGAAAGCTGGTTTGGATCACTTAACTGGTTTGGTGGAAATTCTGCTTGCCGCCCAAGTCAATCCGTCTAGGAGGGAGGAAGCAAGGATAAAAGTCTTCACGGAGACTCTAAAATCTTTTCCTCATGAAAAGATGATGGTTAATGCACCTGTTGACTTTCTTGACAAGGTGAATGTGGGAGTGCGTCTAGAAGAAGATGTCGGAAAGGGATGTTTATATGAAGTGGGTAGCGCGGCTAATGGTGTGAAGAGGTTTGATAATGACTTTTCCAAGAAGAGAACCAGAGGAAGAGATAATCATCATCAGAATCATCATGTTCATCATCAGAATCAGCAAGTTCCTAATCAGAGGAAAGACCAGTTTGATTCAATTCCAATCACCTATGCAGAGTTGTTCCCTATCCTGATGCAGAGGAACTTGGTTCAGACCCGACCTCCACCGAAGGTCCCTAAGAAGATACATTGGAACTACAAAGCTGATTTGGCTTGTACTTTTCATCAAGGTGCTCCTGGGCATGACTTGGAGGGTTGCTTCGCTTTGAAGATTGAGGTTCAGAAGTTGGTCCGAAGTGGTATCTTGTCATTCAAGGACGTTGGTTTTGAAGTTCAAATCAAACAGGCGCCGAAGAGTAAACACGATTGAGGGTGACTTTGAGTTTTTGAAGATGTTTTCGGTAGTTCAAGTGGAAAGCCTTCCCAGATTATTAACTTGTTTCTGCTTTTGTAGCTTTTCTTATTTATCGAAACATTGTTTGCATGTAAGAACTTGTTTGCGTCTGTATGATTATTTTAATACAATGAGTATGTTTGTCTTGAAGAAATTCATTCGTTTCACTCATATTTGCTTTCAAATTTTAAATTTCCTTTTGCATTATGATACCAACATGTTGCCCATGCTCTTGCCTAGGCAGAGATTGAAGGGGGGATGATGATCTAAAGAACACAAAATCTTTGGTTGCATGCTTTTGAATAAAATCTTGTTGATGATGTACAGGCATTGTTTCAAATCCCTAAACACCGGAGATATAAGGAAGATAATCCCTTGCTAACCCCTTTTGAGCCTTTGAAGCAGAAGTTTCTTTTCTATACGAAAAAACCTTGAATTTTTACCTGGGGCAGGGTAGTTTTCAGTTAATCTGATTGAGTGTTCGGAATTCGTAAGAAAGACGTTACCGTCACAAAATCCTTTTGATAGATGAACACTCAGGTTGAATTAACCGAGCATAGGGTTGGAGAACATCATGAAGAATGGGTGGGCACCAAATATTTTGAGCCTTAAAACCTTTTTTCTAAAAAACCCATAAACCGGACCACATTACAACCTTCAAAAGTCCTAATTGAAGCAAGGTCATTTCGAAAGCATACTTCAATAAGATTTGTTCCTGACTCCCATGAGTTTCAAATAGTTATGTTGGTATCATATGTTTTTCCTATACGAAAATAAATGATGCTCTAACTCGCACAACTTGTGCGATATCTTTTCAAAATCTTCAAGACTTACATAACTGTTGCATTAGAGTTTTCATTCTCATTGTAAACTCTTTCTAACTGCAAAACATGCGTTTGATGTCAAGGAAGCTCACATAAACACCAGTGATGAGTTTACTCTTTTGAGGCTTGAAACTTTGTTGAGTAATTGGCGGATCACGTCGAGAGAATCATATCCAGGGGCATGTTAGTTGAAGACCTTAAGCATGGACAGGTTGCTTCTCCTAGTTATTGCTTTTCCCAATTTGTTTGCTCGTCTGGGGCAAAATTCGAAGACTTTGTTGTGCCGACTACAGTCAATCCGGGGCAATCACGTCAAGGTTGGTTGATTTCCTCTAAGAGTTTGAAGACACCAGAGCATGGTGAATGCCAGGTCTTTTGTAAACTCTCTTGAGACGTTTTTCCTCATCAACCAGATAGCTTGGGGGATTTGTAGAAGTGAAACTATTCGCAAGAATCGTAGTGCATCATGCAGCTCGTCAGCAGTAATTTGGGGCATCCAATATTGGTCCCAGGGGCAATCTAGACTTGTCAGGATGTGTGTTAGATATCGCACGCTTTATCAGAGGGTAGTGTTCCCAGTATCTCCAGCTAAGCAAGACTCTTTCCAGCTGAAGCTTTGTTCGTATTGTTATCCTTTCAATGGGTTGTCAGCAATAGAGACTGGATTTTGGGTTTTCTACCTAATATTTTCCTCTCCAAAGAGATTTAAGCCTTGTAGAAGGATTTTACAGCGTTGTTGGCTTTTGTCTTCTATCTCCAGTGATGTTCCCCTCCTGTTGAGTTTAGCCGAGCGTCGGGTTGTACTGTGATGTTTCATCATCTCCTGTCCGTCTCCCCTGTCTGTTTTGTCAGCATATACATGACATTCATGACATTCATTCGCACTTGCATCATGCACGCACAGTTGTATCTGTTGATGTCTTTGAATTCGTACACCTTGGTTGTGTCTTTTCAAATAACGTATTTGATCTTTCCAAATAGGGTGTTAACTTAAGCATAAAGTGCGCCTCCTTTCTAATTCCCCAACTGAGCTAATCCTCGTGGATGATTTTTGATTTAGCTTACCTTATCCATTTCTGGATAGGATAATTTCCCCAATCGAGTTACTTTCTCATTGGGAGGAGTCTCGTTTGACTGTTTCCTCTCTGGTTATTCCTGGATGAAGTTGTTGCCTCTTGCATAGGCTATACTCTTTGATTTTCCCCAGTGAGTTTGCGACCA